TAGTTATCATCACAACTCCCCCTCAATTATTGGTAAATCACTCATTAACCCACCAATTCTTTTAAAATGCTATTTTCCTCCCAATATCCCACTTCTCGTATTTTTCTAGTTAATTTAATTAAACAAAAATTCTAATAATTTCCAACATCATCAAATAAATCAAACAAGGCATTCTAACATTCAAATAAATTAATATAAAGCATTTAACTCGATTAAAATAAATAATTTTAAAACCGTGGTTTTACATCTCAGGTTTTGTTAGATTGATTTGAAATGATGATGGTGTTTGGGTTCACGGTTTTGCGGGTAATATTGATTATTCCAACATACTTCATGCTGAACTGATGGCGCTATATCATAGGAAGTGAAATGTTTGTGTTGACCATCTTACAAAATATGAGATTGATAATGATAGAGCGTATCGATTTTTTGCAAGAATTTTTGTTGGAATCATCGCTCTCCTATTAGTTAATATTTGCGAAACTTTATTTTCTAGATTTTTTTAATAAAGAAAACTCTAATGTAAATGATATTTAATTAATGAACTAACACAATTAATAAAAGGCTTATTTAGTCCTGAAGTCCCTTAACTTAATTTCAGTTTTCACTTTGGTCCCTTATATAATAAACGTTACAATGTAACCCTTAACAATTGTTCTGTTAAACAACTTGATCCATTATGTTAGTTTTTTTTTTGTGAAAACGTTAAGTATGCTAATGTGACACGCCAACAAGGATTGGAGTTCATTTGTGACTCAGCATATTGCAATTTATAAATCGTGTAACCTAATTTCATGTCCAATGCATTATTTTAACGTGAGGTTACTATTCATCATCTTCTTCCTCCTTCTTCATTCATATGCGAACATGTCAGTAAACTCCAATAACCAAGCAAAATCAAACACCTAAAGTTATGGGTGATTTGGATATGTTGTGATAAGAAAGAAAATGATGAAGTGTTGGTGTGAAGAAGAGTGTATAATACGTATTGTTACGGATTTGAATAGTGTCAATGTTGGGAAAACGTTTTGGGGTTGTAGAAATTACAGAAATCAACTGGAGAAGGGATGCAATTTTTCCAAGTGGGTATGAGATGAAGTTGTTGATGGAAGATATTTGAAGATTGAAAGGCAAAGGAAGAAAATATTCAAGTTGAAGAATGAGGTCTTAAGCACAAGAGGAATGTTGAAAAATGTAATTTTATTTGGCATTATTAGTTTAGGATTTAATATAGTTTTTGTAACAATGTATTTGAAATAGATCTGTGGGCAATAAAACATGTAATTTGATGTTATAAATGTAAGAATGTTTGATTTTGCTTAAATGAAATGGGTTGAATGTTATAAATTTGTGTTGGATGTTTAAGCATTTCTTATATTGTATGACATTGTATGTCTGTAATTTGGGTTGAATGTTATAAATATTGCTTTAACAAAAAAAATTGTTTTATAACCTGTTATGGATCTATGATGATATATAGTTGAACAAAATATTTCTTTAACAAGTTGGTATGATATGATGTTGTTATGATATGATATAGTTGAAAAAAATATTTCTTTAACAAGTTTGTATGATATGATATTTCTTTAACAAGTTGAACAAAATATTTCTTTAACAAAATTGGTCTGTTATGGATGTATTACTTTAACTGGTATGGTATGATATTGTTTTATAACTATTCTATTCTGCATTATAAAGAACAATTTGATGAATCATGTAAATAACAAGTTGATATTGCTTTAAAAAAATGTTATGGATATTGCTTTAACAAAATATGTTGCACTCGTACAAAATATATTGCTTTAACAAAATATTCTACAAAGTGTCACTGATATAAAAAGGAAACATAATAGCATGTGTTCTTGACACTGGTACAGAAAGGGCAGTGATACAAAAGGGCATTTGTTCTTTGCCACCAATACAACAAAGCCTAAGTTAGTGTTCACAAAAACCTAAATAAAGTGTTCACATGACACTGAGTTACACAAACATAAAAAATCAAAAGTGGATTAAGTTGCTTTAAGCTGAGTTGGTGTAGGAAGACTTGAATCAGGCCGACTTGGTGCAGGAAGAATTGCATCAGGCTGACTTGGTGTAGGAAGACTTGCATCAGGCTGAGATGCCTCAGGCTGAGTTGGACCAGACTGACTTGGTTCAGGTTGAGTGGTCTAACTTGGACCTGGATGTTTGCAAGTTGCTTTGTTGTGCCCTATCATGTGACATCTACTGCACTTGATGTCAAAATTAGCTCTTTTCACCTGAGTGTCATCCCTTATGTTCTCTGAGGCATCTCTAGTCCTCTTCTTCTTTGGCCTCCCTAGTTGCCTTTTGATTGGTGGTGGTTGTAACTCAACATAACCTTTTTTCTCCCAAAGTGATTCCCCATTGACTGGAAAAATGACAAATGCATAGCATGCTTCATACATTTATTTCTTATAGCACTCAGACACATAGCTTTTAATCTCTAATTTTTGAGATTTCATGCAAGATATAGCATAACAACATGGTAAACCTGTCAGCATCCATTTTCTACAAGAACACACCTTGGTTGACAAATTCACAGTGTATTTTTCTCCATTATATGAGATGTGTCTCACCTCATAGTCGTACTCTCCTGCACGTATGTTACATAGACAAGAACTCAGCCACACAACATAATCAAGAAATTTAAAACAAACATTTAGATGAACAAATACCTCACAATCCAGTTGTTTGTTTTTTTTCAGATTCTTCTACAATATTTTTCTTGATATTAGGTAGAATATCACCTTCAAACTTGGCAGTTTTTTGTCTGTTTGACTCCCATCTTTGCATGAGATATACTCTGATTTCTTCAATCATTATTATGATTGGCTTGGACCTAGCTGTCACATCATCATCAGAATCTTCAAAATTGATCTCCAATGCACTATCGTCACTGCCACCATCTTCTACCTTTATCCCCTCTATGTTACAGTTCTCATTCTCTTCTATTTCATAGTATCCATCATTGTTACAGTTCAGTCCCTCTTTTTGATCATTGTTACAATTCAGTCCCTCACATTCATCATTGGTACAGTTCAGTCCTTCTTCTCTATCATTGTTACAGTTCAGTTCATCATCTCTCTCACCTTGTTCAACTACAGCGGTCTCCTCATCATGCTCAATTCCAGTGGCCCCCTCACCATGTTCACTTTCAGTGGTCCCATTGTCTCCAACTTCCACATCAGGTAAAACATTTGTGGTCCCTTTGTCTCCAACTTCCACATCATGTAAAACATTTGTGGTCCCCTTATCTCCAACTTCCACATCATGTACAACATTTGTGGTCCCCTTATCTCCAACTTCCACATCATGTACAACATTTGTGGTCCCCTTGTCATTCATTTCTCCTCCTTCCACATCATGTACACCATTTGTGGTCCCCTTGTCATTCATTTCTCCTCCTTCCACATCAACTTCCACATCATGTACCTCATCCATAACACTCTCAAAGTCAGTTTCCAACTTTTCAGTATTGTCTCCTACATTCTCAACACAAGTGGTCCCCTCATCAATGTTCTCACCTAACTTAGTTTCAGTGGCATCTATTTCAACACTATACTCAAGTGATAGTATTGGTTCCTTAATTACCTCGGGTTGTAGGATAGGATGTATAACATATAAATGAACTTCCCCAGTCAACACAACAATTGTATGCATCCTCCTAGTCTCATTGTCATCTTTCAACTCCATAATGCTATTACACTCCATTTGATCATAATACCAAAGGCTCTCTATAGTTGGATAACCTAAGTCTTTTAACCCACCTAACACTTCAAAGTAACTCCAAAAATTAGGCTCAACATCCCACGTTTCCTTTAACCCAGTATAATCTAGTTTCGTTAACTCAACAAATTCACCCCATGATGAACAACACATTTAAAACGACTCTCCATGACCTAGATACAACAACTACATAAAACCCTAAATGAGAACTAAAATAAATGAAGGGGAAGAATATAAAGTTTGCATCATTCGTACCTCAAAATAGAAGATGGACCTTGTTCCTCTTTCACGCAGAATCAAATAGTACACAAACCCTATAATGAAGAACAACAAAAATGAGATTCAAAGCTAACGCAGATGAAAAACCCTAAATGAAAACTAAAATAAATGAAGGGGAAGAATATAAAGTTTGCATCATTCGTACCTCAAAACAGATGATGGACCTTGTTCCTCTTTCACTCAGAATCAAATAATACATAAACCCTAAAATGAAGAAGAACAAAAATGAGAGATTCCAAACTGAAGATGAAGAATGATGAACGAACGAAAATGTATGATAACCATACCTTGACGAACAAAAATGAAGAGTGATGATAGCCACACGAACGAAGATGAAGATGAATGCTAATGGTTGCTTCATTAGGGTTTCCAACAAAGAGATAAAATGAAACGTTGAAAATGAAGTAAAAAAGGATAAAATGAAACGTTAAAATTTTTGATGTTTTTTTAATCAAAATGTCAAACCATAAATCCATGTCACGTTAAGAAAGCCAGTTAGAATGCTACCCTAGCAACAACTAACAGAAATACGCACATTTTAACATAAAGGATCACATTGGCTAATATAATCACAATTAAAAAACCTGACACTAACGTTTATTACATAAGGGATTAAACTGAAAACACAAATTAAATTAAGGGACCAAATAGTGCATTAAACCTTAATAAAATAAATTAAAAGTACATTCTAAACAAACCAAAAAAACAACAATTTTTTTTATGTACAAAACAACAATCTTTTCAGAAATAAACATTTTTGCAAAATATATGACAATAATAATTGATTAGGTTTTATTAATTGCATAACTAAAGCAAAACCAGTGACTAATTGAACTTGAGCTTATAGATAGAATCTCACATCCAAAAGAGGCATAACCTGCCAAAACCCAAAATAACTTCAAATCTCTAAGCCTTTCACTTATCCCAAAACAAATCACATGCTAATACACTGTTAATTTTTCCTAAATCTCACATTAATTGCACCTAATCTCACCGGGAAACACCTCATCCTCGCCGGTAAACTCCCTGCGTTTCGTCGGAGATATATCAATCTCAATCATATTCTCTTCCTCTAACTGAAACTCCAACTCTTTCTTCTTACAACCATCAAGAGATATCTCAATTAACCCTTCTCTGTCTTCTTCATCATCCCACATAAAACCCATCTCCTCCGGCGAGTCCCAGTTCCCCATTGCCGGAAAATCATTCTCCGATGAACTATCCGAATCAGATTCAGGATAATAACATGACAAAGAAGGGTACCTCAAAAGTCCAGCAACAGAACTCTCCTCTGTTTCTTCACCTTCATATATAACCTCCAATGGCGCTTTCACGTTCCATTCAACGAAAGACTCATCAAGAAACGAACTTGATTCAAAACCCATTTCAAATTTCAAATTTTCTTCAGAATTCCTCAAAACCCATTTATGAATTTCGTCGAAAGAATGTATTTCCACTTGTTCCTCCGTTTTCCCCTGTTTCTCATCTCTGTTTTCTTCATTGGTATCATAACCTGTTATTTCCAAATTTTCTTTTTCTTCACTGTTAGATCTCTGAATTGCACCAAAACGAAGAACAATCAACAAGAGAACCCCGGTGAGAATCAAAACAGGTGAGAAAACAATCTTGCAGAAAATATGCGGCAAATAGATAAGAATCAAAACACAGAATGTAACAATGCATGAAAACAGAGGATCTGAAGAAACAACTAACAAAAAAGTAACAGTTTCTAAGATAAAACTACTTCTCTCCATTAAGATTACAATTATTTCAAGTGAATAACTGAGAAGAAAATCAAAGCCATGTGTAGAGAAAGAAAAGTTTGGAAATTTGATAATAATTGATAAGAAAAGTTAGAAGTTAGAATGGTGAAAAGGATTTGGACAGAGTGTTAGTGTGGGGTTTATGAGACTTTTTAGCGTGAGGAAAAGGCATGGAATAATAGGGATGGTCCTGTTCTATTCTATGCAATAACCAAGACAATCTTTGGGAAAATCTACAAATCCAGACCTAAAAAGTTGTTATGCTTTTAAGCTTATATCAAATTCAATGTTTTGTAGTAGTCTACAAATCCAAACCTAAAAAGTTGTTATGCTTTTAAGCTTATATCAAATTCAATGTTTTGTAGTAGAAATTTTAGGTTTTAATTCATGGAATCTAAACAATTGTTACATTACTTAATGTATATAAAAGTGTTAAGACCAATGTTTTAAATAATAAGTGTATCCGCGTAAATACTTTTGCGGTTTTCGTCATAATAAGATACGAAATTGATTATGATTATGATGTAAAATAATTATAATTTCATTTTTATAAAAACATCAAATTACAATATTGATATTAATATTTTTTGATATTATTTTATCGCTCTAAAAGACTACATTATTGATGAATCCATGTAGTTTTAAGTTATATATATATATATATATATATATATATATATATATATATATATATATATATATATATATATATATATATATATATATATATATATATATATATATATATATATATATATATATATATATATATATATATATATATATATGATAAATTTTGGTTATTACATCAAAGAATGTGAAACTTCACCTACAACCACATGAGATGTTGAGTGGATGGTCCATTTAGGGTTAGTTGGTTTATGAGTAATGAGAAAAATAAATTGAGTAACTATATATGGAAGCTGGAAAGTTTGGTAGACCCACTTGAATTTTGTCATTAGTTAATGTGAGGGATGCTCTCGTGTGTTTTTGAAAATGGAAATAGATTATGTAAACTATTCTTTCTAAAGAATGGAAAAAAAAATTTGTTTAAGCTATTATTTATTAAGAATTTGAGTTTGGATGTTAACTACAATAATTCTTTTTATTAAAGTTTAGTTAGATATATAGTAAATTGTTTATCAAAAAAAAAAGAAGATATATAGTAAATTCCAAATTATAAAAATTATTTACTTTTAAAATTTGGAGAATCGAAACAAAAAATACTAGGCAAATTGAGCCTAAAACTTGCTAACTATTTTGAACATGAAAGAAATAAAGGTAAAATAAATTTCTACAATATTTTAAATGTGGGATTCATAAGAATATTAACAAAGAAGGGAAAATTGTATGGAATAGATTGATATATAACTAATTTGGTATGATATTTTCTTTGAGTGTTGTTTATGAAGAAGGGCTGATACAAATGTTCTTGTAATATGTTTAGTGGTGAAAGTGTACTTGCAAACACTTTTAACGATTAAGATAATGAAGATTTAAAGAGTGGTGTTTAAGATTTTAGTGTAACGTGCACTTGAGTCTAAGCCCTTCGTTAGGCTTCATAGTTAAGGTTTAGAATCTAGAGGCCCTAAAATCTTATTTATGACAAATGTCTTGTAGGACAAGTGTTTATGATATCCTATGTGTAGGATGGACTTAACAGAGTCACCACTGAACTTTATTTATCCAAAAGAGAAAAAGATAAACGAGTGATGTTTAAGGTTTTAGAATAACATGTACTTGATCCTAAGTCATTCGTTAGACTTTATAGTTAAGGTTTAGAGTTTAGAGGCCCTAAAATCTTATTTATGACAAGCGTGTTATAGGACAATATCCCATGTCCATGGAAGACTGCCCAACTAGAATGCTCTGTGTCTCTAGGACGTGTCCATCTCCTAGTACGTCTTGTTTCATAAGACTAGGGTGACACAATTTCCTACGGGTTATGCCTTAGTTCAGAACATAACAATAGCCCCCCAAAGTCTAGGATAACAAGGATCGACTATTGCTTTGTCTCAAGACTTCTTCGAATCTAGGAGACTCTTCATAGACAGTGGCTACAATTATGGCCTTCGATAGGATTTGGTGAAAAATTATTTGGTAGAGGGTCATAGGATACACCTTCATTGTCATGTGTTTATGTTTGAATTTTTTTAGGGAACTCTTATTGTCTGGTTTGACCTTTTTCATTCCCTCCTTCTTCCATATAGATTACAATGTTAGGTAATGATGGATTAGATTGAGACACAATCTTATTATTTTATGGGAACCACAACAACAATGATAGCTTAGAAAAGGAATAAGGCTTTATGAAATGGCATTGTGTTTATGCATTGGTCCATTCGTGGCCTTGCGGATCCTTCTTGCCAATTATTGGATGCATAGATTTTTCACTTTCCTGGATTGAGTGGGTGTTTATTTCAAGGTGTGTAATAATTTATTTCCATTTTTTCACTTTTATTTATTTTCTTTCCTTGTTCTTTGGCTCTTTGGTTTCTCGAACTACAACTCTAGAGTTAAGACACCATTATTGTTATTTTTTCTAACTTTATCTCAATCTGCTCCATTATCTTCATACACCACTGAACTTTAAGCTTCATTTTTATCTTTTTCTTTTCATTCATTTCTTTATGAACACATTTTATATTTGAATGCATGGCAGTGCCTCCTCCCTGAGTGGTGGTTCCACTTCCATGAGAAGAGGTATCACCTTCATAGGTGAGAACACCCAAATATGTTTCCATTTTCCTTCCCATATGTTTATTTTGAGGGATGTTTTAGGTGAAGTAATTGTAGATGACTTTTATGAATCATCCCTCTGGTTGATCCTCCAGGTTTGAAAATAGCGGGAATATTGTGTTCTTCACCTTTTCACGTAAAGTGAAAAGGTGGATAAACAATGCCTTCTCCCCGTGCTTACTACGTCTCTTTGTGTGGACATGTATATGATGTGAAATGATCAAATACCTTATTGAAGGTTGATCATGGATCCATGGAAAATTGAACAACATAACTACATGCATTCAGAATAATCAGGGAACCCCTAAGTTCACTTCGAATCAGCCAGTTCGACACATCTATCTTCTATTTCTAGACAAGGGGTTCCTAGGAAATTAGGAAATATAGGATCATTTGACCACCAACGAGACTTTCAATGCGTACTCAAGTTACTCTTAACCTATGTACGCAAAAACATTTATGGAGATGAAGACTCATCTTCCTTTTGGGTCACCTGATACGAAGGTTTTGCATCATCTTTTGGTAACTCTTTCCCAACGTCATCCTAATTGTTGGCTTTCATCCATGCCTTTTAGGTCGTGTAGGAATACTTGGAAATGAAAGCCCAAAATGGAGGGGAAACTCAAGAAATCAAATGTGATATAGTAAAATCTTTTTTTAGTGTTGTTGATGATGACAAACTTTAGTACACCAGTCCTTGTAATATTCCCAACTGTGGAGGGTAGCCTAGAAACACTATGAAGATCAAGCAAGTGATAATTATAAATGCGGGGTTTTATATTTTTATAATACTTTGTACATGAGTTTGAACTCTTTATCAGAATTTATAGTTAGGATTTAGGATGTGGAGCTCCTACACCATTCTTTGGGAAAGTTTTCTATTTAGACATGTGTTATGATATTCTATGATTTCCCCCTTTTTATGGTGGAAGTCCACTCATCTAGGATCTTATGTGCCTCTAGAGCTTGCCCCACTCCTAGTTCGATTTGCCTCATAAGGTTTTGTGAGCCAATTTCTTGTGGGTTTAACCTTAGTCCTCACTGAAACAAAATGGAATGAAAAATATGCAAGATAAAAATAGCTCTCTCTCTCTCTCTCTCTCTCTCTCTCTCTCACACACACACACACACACACACACACACACACACACACACACACACACACACACACACACACACACACACTCATACACATGTGACGGTATGTATGGTTTTATAGGTCTTTTGATTTATTTAATTTAATCATGTATGTTAACTTTATAATCAACCTATCTTGACTTATTCATGTATGCTGACTTTATAAAAACATAAATATTTTTTCTTTTAGAGTTTTATAACAAATTTTAGAATATTGATAAAGTTAGAGATGTATGACACAAAAATCTGTCAAAATTTATAGAACTTTAATCAAGAGACAATAATTTTTTTAATAAAATCATAGTTAACCTAAGATTTTAAATTGGAATCATTTTTTGCATTATGCTTGACAATAATAGCTTACAATGGAATAAAAAAATATAAAGAAATTTAGAATAATACAAAGAAATTATTAACGGTTATAAGAGATCTATCTTCTTAAATTATTAGTATTTAGCATTTGAATGAGAATCATTACAAAATAAAAATAAATGACACATCTTCTAAATTTGGTATATTGTCACTTCTTGTAAGTTGGTATTTTTAACACCTAAACTCCAAACTTTATTTTAATAAAAAATTCATACATAGGATGTTACTTCACCAAAACTCTCATACATAAACATGCAACTAAATAATTCACCGTGAAAGATAAAAGAAAAACATATCATAAGTCTGAATAAAACATTTATGAAAAACTCCATAAAAGAGAGTTACAACTCAAAATATGAAAATACAAGCGCCCAAATCCCCGATGTTGCAGACTATAGCATTTATTCGACTAAATAAAGAAAAATAGTAAAATGTTGAGAGGGCGTCGAAGCCATCTCACGATCATCACAATCTATCACTCCTGCTGATTACTTATACAACATTGCACAAAGTCAACCGAACAAAATAAACAAGGGGTGAGAATACACTTACAAGTATTAACTGTGAAATTTAGTAACATAATGGTAAACAAATATAACAACAATACTAGTAAATAAACACATACACAGACACAAAGACATATATCATTCTCAACATATACAATGTTATTATGCACCAACTCCTTCACCTATATGCATATGGTACAATTTTTTGTGTGGATATCAGAGGTATTTTACTGATTT